TTTTCTTGTTGTTTTCTTCTAGTTCTTTTGTTGTCGAGTTAAGTAGTTTACTGCTGACTTTTCTTGTTGTTTTTTGTTTGTTTGTTTGTTTGTGTGTTTTTTTTGAGGTATGCCTGTAGTGCTATGAACTTCCCTCTCAGGACTGCTTTTGCTGTGTCCCAGAGAGTTTGGGTTGTTATGTGTTCATTTTCATTTGTTTCCAGGGAGTTTTTGATTTCTTTCTTGATCTTGTTGGTAACCCAGTCATTGCTTAATAACATGCTATTTAGCCTACATGTGTTTGAATGATTTTGGGTGTTTTTACTGTAGCTGATTTCTAATTTCATTCCACTGTGATCTGAGAAGATGCTTGATACGATTTCAATATTCTTGAACTGTAGAGTCTTGTTTTGTGTTCTAAAATGTGGTCTTCTGCCTCTTCTGGCACACCTGCTATCTTTGTGAATGATCCATGTGCACTTGAGAACAATGTATATTCTGCTGCGTTGGGGTAAAATGTTCTATAAATGTCTACTAAATCCATTTGATCCAGTGTGTCCTTTAGAGTCTCTGTGTTCTTGTTAAGTTTTTGTCTGGAAGATCTGTTGAGTGAAGTCAGACAGGTATGAAAGTCCCCTACTATGTCTGTATTGTTGTCAACTTCTCTGTTAAAGTCCTCCAGAAGTTTTTTAATATATTTAGGTGCACCTATATTGGGTGCATATATGTTTACCAGGGTTATAGCCTCTTGTTGGATTGATCTCTTTAGTATTATGTAGTGACCTTTGTTGTCTCTTGAGATGGCCTTCATTTTAAAGTCTATTTTGTCGGATATGAGCTTTTTTTTCTTTTCCATTTGCATGGAAAATTTTTTTCTATCCCTTCACTTTCATCCTGTGTGTGTCTTTTGTTTTGAGGTGGGTCTCTTGTAGACAACATATAGTTGGGTCATGTTTTTGTATCCATTCAGCTACCCTACACCTTTTGATTGGGGCCTTTAATCCATTTACCTTTATGGTTATTATTGAGAGATACTTATTTATAGCTATTTCAATTCTGTATGGCTAGGTTTCTTTCTCTGTTTCTTCTTCTCAGCAATCCCTTTAGCATTTCTTGTAATACTGGCATGGTGATGATAAACTCCTTTAGCCTTTTTTTTTTGTCTGGGAAGCTCTTTATTTGACTGTCTATTTTGAATAAAAGCCTTGTTGGATATAGTAATCTTGGTCTCAGATCCTTGCTTTCCTTACCTTGAGTACTTCATGCCATTCCCTTCTGGTCTATGAGTTTTTGAAGAGAAATCAAGTTTCAGCCTTATGGGAACTCCTTTGTAGGTAACAGTTTTCTTTTCTCTTAGTGGCTCCACAGGGAATTTTGTGCATTGACCTTTCAAGACGGTACCCGAGCTTTCAGCTGCCACTTCCTGGCAGCAGCCCTCTGCTGCTTTTCACAGCTGGATGTTATGTGGGTACCCTCCTCAGATTTGGTGCTCTCTGCTGGGGAGCCCAGCTTGGGGATTAGATCCCAGAGTTCTCAGTGGCACCCCTCCACAGCTGAGATATCTCTCCAGGATTTCAGCTGCTGTCTGTGGGCTCCTGGCCAGCCCTTTCTCACCTCTGCCCCTCCTACCAGTCTCTAAGCAGACACCACCTTTGGTTCTTGGGTATCAGGGTTCTCTTCTGTGAGTTTCTTGTTGATTAGAGTTTGGAAACTTTGCAGCTCCCCACTCTGGCATTCATAATCTTGACTGCTCACCCCACCCTACCCCTGATCGCTCCAATCTGGCTTCCCACTTTTCCCCAGTCCCAACCCAAGCCAGACTGGCTTCCTTATACTGTTCACTGGAGCCCTGAAGGCCTCCCCTCTCTGTTCTCCTCTCCTATTCTATACTGTGCAGGCTTCACCCACACCAGCTTCAAAAAGAGCCAATCTTCCCTCCAGGACCTGGCTACCTCTTACAGTGAGGAGCAGCCTGCCTCGTCTGCAGTTAGCAAAGAAAGCCAGTAAACTGTGGCTCCCTCAGCTTGCCCTACAAAGCTGGGAGAGGGGCCAGATGAGAAACACATCTGGGACAAGTGGTGGTGTGCTTGTCCCTGGAGAAAGATGTATTTCCAGCTACAAGGCTGTAGCCCTGGCCGAGGGTAGAAGAGAGAACAGGCCCCAAGATTGGTCAGAGATGAGGTTGCCCAAGTGGAAGAATAAAGTGGGCCATATGCTGGAAGGAGAGAAGATTTTCCTGTAGATATGGAGGCTGGGGTAGGCATGGCAGGGAGGCACTTTGATCTCCACATACCTAAGAAGCCGGAGGCCCTATGATCTGAAAGCCTGCTGGGACAATGGCTGGGAGAGGGAACTATAGCTGTGTACAGGGGTAAGCTGGAGGGAGGAGGGGCGCGATGCAGAATCCAATGCCAGCTTCTGCCACCAAAGGCTGGCTAACTAAGGCAGGGAAGCCAACTAAAGTGGTTGACTCTGATGTTACACACGCTTGAGTCACTTTGCCTGACATGGTGAACTGATACATAGAGTTGCTGCTTCCCGCTTTTCTCTGTTCCAGAGGAAGTTATACATATACATACACATATACATATACATATACATATACATATACATATACATATACATATATAGTTAACCTTCACCCTAGGGTGTTTTTCCATTCATTTTTACAGAGAGTGGAAGGGAAGGGTAGAGATAGAGAAAAACATCAATGGGAGAGAGACACATTGATTGGTTGCCTCCAACACATGCACCGGGGCTGGGGATTGAGTCTGCAACTGAGGTACATGCCCTTGACCAGAACTGAACCTGGGACACTTCAGTCCGTGGGTTGATGCTCTAACCAGTTAGCAACCCGGCCAGGGCAGAAAGTTATGATTTTTCACCATTTGTCCATTCAACACTTGCTAATCACCTGAATTGTGTCTGGCCCTGTGCTGGGCACTGGAGACACAACAATGAATGGGCACTTCAGGAGGTCACTGTCTAGAGCCGCAAAGAACATTGTGCACCAGTGGGGAGGTGCCCCTCAGCCTTTGCACACAGAACTGAACGTTATTGAAATGTTTTTCTTTGCATACATTTAACACTGAAACAAGCACCAATTCTGTTGGAAAATTACATTTAAATACAGTTACAGAAATGTAATCCCAAGTCACAGGTGTCTCATTTATCAAAGACAAAAGCCATTGGGACCGTTCTCCAGACGAGGCCTGGCTTTGGTTTTTCCTGCTTAAAATCCCCCTGTGAGCTTCTTTCATGCTTAGAAAGATTTTATCTTCTTTCCAGGCTTTTCTCTTCAAAAGCCAGACCTTCACTGGGGCCAGTTCTTATAACTTAAAATAAAACAAGGGGAGTTCTTCACTCAGCTAGCTCATTTATTCTTCAACAGCTATTTCTTGAGCACCTAACGTCGGGACCAGACATGTGCTAAGCCTGAAGAATTTGCTGGTGAACAAGAGAGACAGAATCTTGCCCTCAGGGTCCTCAGTGAATTATCCCCAACCAGAGCTCAGGCCCCCTGAGGTTGGGAACACAGCTTGTCACGCTTGCTTGTCCCTCTTTCTCTGTTTCTTGCTTCATCCTAAATGGACCGACACAAAGACGTCTCTACTTTGTTCTTCATGTCTCATGTGTCTTACTGAGCTCATCACCTCTTTGTTCAAAGGCAAATGACCCTAACTCTGTCCAGAGGTGGGTTTATTGCTCCTCCCAGCTTTCCAGTTGAAAGATTAAGGGGGACAGGCTGTGCAGCAGAGGAGCACTTTGAGAGCTGCCTTCTGAGGGCAGTGACCCCAGGTGTCCTTGCTTTGCACCCCGAGGTCTTGCTAGTCTGGCCCTGATCAATTGGATTAGGAATAAATGCCTGACTACCATTCAGAGTCCGGCCAGTGACCTAGATGGTGGCCTGGCATCAGTCTGCCCCATAGGGATGTGAGTGACCAACACAGTGAATTGCACCCTCTATGAGGGAATTTAAGA